CATAATTTTGAATAAGATGGAGTTTCCAGAGTAGCTGTTAAGAGAACCTCCCTTAAAAAAGCAGTACAGAAGCTCTCCTGGGACAGATGCCATCGAATCCTCACCTGCCATTTCTAGTTTTGACTTAATTCCAGAATTTGGCTAAAATGCAACATCACAATGTCTCTGGACTTTGAAGACAATAATTTCTGACCCTACCATTATACATGGCATCACCATATGGCAAAATTTTGAAAAAAAAATAGTATTTCAATACATAAAGACAAGTTTTGCAAAATCAGGCCAAGATATTCTATTTTTCTTGTTTGTCTTTTTGTGTCTAAGATTATCATGCATGACTTTCTCCCTAATTACCTTTTTAGTTGCCCTTGACTGTTCTAATCTATTCCTAGTCATTTCATTTTACCTCATTTAAGTTCAGTTCCAGAGAAGAATAAAATAATGTGGCTGAGGTTAAAGCAAACTTGTATAGTCTTTGGCTATTTTTAAGCTTTAAAATATCACCATCATAACCTTTTTTTGTCTCCTTTAGAAATTTGGCCACATTATTTTAATCAATGGGAGTATGCCATAATTCAGACTGAAGCTGCTCATTACTGAATATTTATATATTTTCTTCTTTATGAACAAGTCACAGAATAAAAACAAACTGAATATAATATATGTTTCTAGGCAAATTGAAGAATATTAGAGGCTTATAACAATGTTTAATCAGTCACTTTTCTACATCCAGAATTTCAATACTGTAAATGATAATATCTATTATACAAGCCATACATAGAGTGAGATGTTCAATAGTTCTTGAATTGCCACTATTTTATGAACCCTTTTAGCTTAGTAGATTTAATTGTCTTCTAAGTTATTAACCAGATTCTAGATAAATGATTGTTTGCTGTACTTAAGTATGGAGAACTACTTTAGAAGTCCAAGAAGTAAAACTCTACTTTCAGGGTAGCTGAAAATGCGTAGAACAACTATTAGAATGAATGTCTTCATTATGTTTCAGATGACACCATTTACTAATGAATATTACCTAAAACTAAGAGCCAATGGGTTTCAACTTCTCAGACATCTGCTTCCATGCCCAGGGTTTATACCGAGATATACTCTCATCCCGTACTTCTTTCTTTTAAGATAGCATCATCACTTTCTCCATGGTACATGAGCCTCACATTCTGCTGGTGAAATCACATGGACAATTTAAAAGTATCATCTGAGTCCTAAGTGAGACATTAAAGGAATACAAACTCTAATGACAGAACAGAGGGTGACTGTGTGCATTATTGCAATATAACAATCCAATTCTTTTTAATTTGTGAAATTTTCAGAAATGTTGTTAGTTAATCGAAAAGAAGAGAAAATTGTATGGCTCTTTTCCAAGTGTAATCAATGCACCAAATTATGAGTCTGTTCCATTATTTTTGAACAATCAGGACTCACAAAGCCTTTTTGACATTTCTGTTGTGATTAGTTTGCTAATGATTAGAAGATGGGTGCATTGTAAAATAAGATGATTTTACTTTGATATTTCTGAAGATTCTGTGTTTCTTGCAAAGACACTGGAAATAGTCCAACCCTTTAAACATGACCTGCACAGAACTGCTTTAGAGATACTACTTTATTTATAGTCCATCTCTCACACTCATTTATTGTTTTCAGTCTCCCAGGGAGCACAGAGAACTCTCCTACAAATTTACTATAGGAGAAAATATACTTCTGAAATGTCCTACTTCAAAATGTTTTTAATGTATATTCAACTCAAATGTTTAAAGAACAATTACTCTAGGTTCTTTTATAAATGTATGATAATATAAAAGCAGAAGACTTAAGTCTCTTTTGCTATACAGATCAATTGTTTCAAGAACCTTTGTAAATGTGTTTAAATATTCATTAGAAACTAGCTTTCCCCTTTGGCAAGTTTAATTTTCCAATTAAAGGGAAGAATTTTTTTTTTTTTTACTTCATTTCTGGGATTTCCCTGGATAATTCCTACCTACTGTTTCTTTAAAACAATGCCATTTTGTTCCTTTAAAATGATGCCACTTTCAGGGCTCCTTGGTGGCACAAGGGGGCAATTCTCATCACTATCAAGGTATCTGCAGAGTTCAATCCCAGGTCAGGGAGCTAAGCCACATGGCGCAGCAGACCTCTCCTGTCTAGCCTCTGCTCCCTTCAGCAGTGTTTTTCAGTAGATCCGACTGTTCTGCTCTCTATTCGGTCTCTGGTGAATCCTCTCATCACCTCTCCCACCTCTGGCCTATACCATAGCTCTTGTATACATAAATGAATAAAGCCTAAAAAATAAAATGATACATCTTAAAAAAAATACTTTTAAAAAGTTGTTGAAATTAACTTAGCTCACTGAACAACTCAAGGAGTATAGTCAGAATCATATTCAGATTGTGCAGTCTTCCCAAGAGATCCAAATTGTGTTGGACTAGTAGAAGTGGCAAAAACACCTGACTCAGAACAGAGGTGGGGCCAGGAGGAAGGGGATTCGCATGTAGCATACATCCACCTAACAGAGCAATAGTAAGGTAAACATCCAAAGAAGGTTGCAGACTTCTGTAGGGGTGAAGTTGCAAAAGCCTTGAGATTGCAGAGTGGAAGAAAGGGATTCAAGCCATTCGCAGAAGGGTTAGAGACACCCAGGACAGCCAGAAAAGCAGTGTCCCTCAGACTTCAGGGGAGGCAGACAGTTCTTATGCACATATCCCAATGAGAAAGGTCAACAGAGGATGCCAAGAGGCTAAATCTGTTTATCCATTCATCCTTGTCATTGTGTACAGGTAGATGTGAGATAGAAAGCAGGCAGGGAGAGGGAAAAACATTTTTAAGTTTATGAGGAGCAAATTCAGCTAAATTTTAGACAATCTCTAAATAGCTTATGTAACTTCTGATTTTGAGGTACTATAAAACTTTGATTATACCTATTCATTTCCAAACATTAAAACAGAATTCTCAATTGTCTATAGGTCTTTATAAGGCATTTTCATAGAATATAGATTCTCATTTTTAATTTTCTGCTCACATAATTCCAATATTTGAGATATTGTAGAAGTGTGATAAAATTAGTTCTACATACAAGTTAATAAATCCTCTCATTATTTCTCCAGAGATAGATTTTGATTATTAGTTTTGATCTCCAGAGATAGATTTTGATTATTAGTGTTCTTTATACTATTCTTTATGTGAAAGTATGTAGTAGTCAATAGTTCCTTACTAAATCCAAAATAATAACCTTCTCATATATATGAGAACTATAAGTTATTTTCACCTTAAATAGGTTTATGATTCCTATATAAAGTGTAAATAACATTTACAGAAATAAATAAAAATAAGCCTAATGTATATGCATTTATCTCTGAATACAACTTGCCTTACTAATGTTATCATTAACAGATGTATAGACATAGTAAAATATCAAGTTTCCACAGTCCCTATTTTAGTATAGATCAATAACAAAGTTTTAATCTAAAGATATATTTAATATCAGATACTTTTTTAATATATTTTTCAACATTGATATGTACAATAACTGGTTTGCATGATGCTACAATGTATTTCTCAGATTAAAAAAAATTTAAAGAGAAATTGTTTAAAAGGATGGCATTTCATAGTCCTTTAAACTTTGCTACCTGATAAAGAGTCTCCTATACAATGAACTAAAGTGATAGAACTCCACTCTCCTTAACAGCCAACTATTTCATTGAGTTTCTTAGCTTTATGATTCTTCAGGTAACAGTTTGTCTTTATTTTACCTAAAATTAACCAGAGTATTTCTCTCAAATCTACCTAGAATTATAGAGAAAAGGTAACAAATTAAAGTGAGATCTATTAAATATTAATGTATATACACTAAGATCCTGTCTCTGAGAAAATATTTGGAAATCTATCAGTTCTCAGTAAGTCTTTTATAATTGCTCCAGAGATGGTTTTAACCAGATGTATTGAAAGTCACCATTCACAGAACTAAAAATATACCAAAGCTTTAAGAACCAGCTTCTTATGATTCATAGTTCTGGCAGCACTTTTAAGTTCCATAAAACAAATTTAACATTGAACTTAATTGAAACTACCTTACAAAAGAGTCTATTTTCTCTTTCCTCTCTCTTTCTTTCAGTCAAAGAAAATAATGATGCTGGAGAAGGCAGAAGAATCACTGTCAGAATTTTTACAGTATGGTGTAGAAGAAATGAGTGTTATTTACCCTCCATTAAAAACAAAGAGTTCAAAAGGTCTACCAACTGACAAATCTGAACATTTTCCATTTTCTTCCAAAGATGAAAAATCACATCAGACAGGAAACACACTCTTTAGATTAGTGACAGGTGTAGAACAAGCACACCAGTCAGCCTTGATTTTCAGTGTCCGTAGGCTCGCTCAGTGACAGAGGCTACAACTCTTCCTTTCCACTGAAGTGACACATATCAGATTATTCCTTCAACTACACATCACCCTGCAGAAAAGCTCCCAAGCAATGAAACTACTTGATCTTGGTTGAAGGGCAGGCTATTTTATTTTTAAAGAAAGAACAAATTCTTATTGCTAATGAGAGATGATGATAATGATGATGAAGATGTTATAATGATGAAACTAGTTCAAGAATTCCTTTAGGAGGCAGGAGAAAGAATCATTGTTCTCACACTCATTTCTCCATACACAGTAAACTTATCCAGGAGGTGAAGTAAAGAACCTCATTTAGAAGTTAGATGATTTAGATTGCCCCACATTAATATGGTTCTGGAAGCACAAAGCTGCAGTATTAACTGGGTACTAGTGAGGTAATAATTTCAAATGACAAAATAAAAGCCTTCCTCTCAACCTCCCCCCAGGGTGCCTCCCCAAACCTCACTTTTTGGTTCCATTTTCGCTTTTTTTTTTACTACCCCAAATCAATAATAACATCAAAGCTGTAAAAGTCTGCTGGTACTTGGAGCCAATTCCAGAAAATGGGAGAGTAAAAGAATCCCTAGTACAAGTTTGGGTTTAAGATTTACCTGCTCTGATCCCAGTTGGCAGCGAAAAGTACTAAAATCTTCCTGCCATAGTGGTCCAGATTGGCCAGACCCCCAGGAAAGCCATCTTTCAGAGCCTGTTTAATGCCAGGATCAGTGGCCTTGAAGCTTTTGAACATGTCCAGGTTCTGCTGCCTGTACTCAAAGTATTGGGCCAAGAGACGGAAGGCCTCAAAGTGATGAAACTTCCTGGCCCGCAAAAAGCGTAAGATGAAGGCGTCGTCCGTGCGCAGAAAGCCAATGTCCGGCCTGGTGATGACCATATCTCTCACCTCCTGGATGTCCTGGTGTAGGGTGTCTGGGTTCTCATTGAGCTCCAAACGAGCTTTTTCCAGGGTCTCAGGAGAGAGACCAGCTTGTAAATGAGTCATTGTTCTCTGGCTCCTCAGGCTTCCCTTCCTCTTGCTGAGTGTCCCACAACAAATCTGGTCCTTGCCACCAACACACTCCAGCTGCTGCCTGCTTCCTCCTCTTCACAGGAAAAGATTTCTCTGGGTGTCCAATCAAGTACCCTGTTGCTCCTGCTTCCCCACAGATTTCCTATGAAGAATGTAAACTTCTTTCACCGGTCCCTAAAAAACCAATATCCAGAGGTGGCTCCCTCTTCCTTCGAAGGGATGTGGACCTGACACCTCTGACGGGTGGGTCCAGCCCTCCACTTCTTGTCCTTCCTCTCTTCTAACAAAACACTCTGAATCCCACCCAGTTCCGATGATGCTGATCCTGGTACAGTCCTCTTCTCTTCCAAGATGTAACAAAAACAACCCCCACGCACATCTCACCCCTGCACTGTGATGCTTCTGCGGTCCCCGCTGGAGGCTGCGCCTGCCAAGGATAACGATGAGAATTCTGATTAATAATGAGGAGGCTCTTCAGCGCTGAGCTCCAGGGAGGGGAGACAAGTCTTTGCCAGAAAGAAAAAGAGAAAAAGAGGGAGGAAAGGAGCTATGTCTCCTTCTCCTTATTCAAAAATGCCATTTTAAAAGACATGTGGGAGATTTTGTTTTAAATGACTATGATCCAATTAGATGCTGCAGATAGTGCAGCTTAGACACACCGTGATCTCATAAGGCACCAGCAGGGTTTCTGGTGGCGTTGGTACCAGCGTGGGCTCCCCTAGCCCCACCCCCAACTTCTGCCTCCCTCTAGCCCTTCATTTCAGCGGACTTGCCTGGGGAGGGGTGGGGGTGGGGGCAATCTCTCCCCGCACCTTTCAAAAGCTGAGACGAGGGAGGGGGGTTTGGGGGGGAAGGAGGGAAGAGGCGTGGAAGATAAAATGAAATGTCTCTACCTTTTCTATAAAACCCCAAAGCAAGAGAGAAGAAAGAGCAGCCGGCTCCTACCAGCAGACTCGGAGGCGGGGACGCTAAGCAATGCGGCACTCCCTGGCATCCATCAGCCGCGGCTTGGGCGGCGAAGGCAGCTACAGCTGCATCAACTCCTCTCGGTGGGATGGAGCGGGCTGAGAAGAGGGGTGACAGCGGGAACCCGGGCGGAAGACGAGCTGAGGAGCGGCCACGGCCACATCGTCCGCCAGCAGCCCGCCGCTGGCCCTCGAGAAGGGCGGGGGGCGCAGAAGCAGAGCCAACGCTGTCACAGGTCGTCGTCCGGCCAGGCCAGTCCCGCCGCGGAGACGAGGAGTGGGGGTGCAGAACTCCTCCGCCCGGAGGGAGCAGGCCACGAGGGCGGCTGCCGCTTATGTAGGTCCGGAGCTGCTGCGGCCTGGGCGCCGCGGGGTGGCTGGTGCCGGACGCGGGCCCCTCCCGGTGCGCGCCGGGTTGTTCGCTGGCGAGCGCGCCCCTCGGGGCGGCTGCGGCTGCAGCTCAGCTGTCGCTGCTAAAAGACTCCGCTCAGCCCAACTCCTCTCTCATTATCCCAGCTTCGATCTCCCTGCGACGTAAGCACTCACTCAGCTCGCGCACGCACTCCGCTGCTCTCTCCCCGACTCGTTTGAGTAGGATGGCAACGTCGGTGGCATTCAAACAGCCCCGGAGCCGCGTTCCTCCAGCTTCTGGCCCGCTCGCCTCGGCTGGCGGCTCAGGGGGCATCGCCCAGCCAGGTGGGGCAGGAAGCCTCGCAGCACCCCTATGCCCCTCTCTCACCCTTTGTATGCATGACCCGGAGCGCCTGGCAAGTAGCTGTTGGAGATGCTAATTCACATTGACACAATTTTCTAGTTCCTGTAGGAGGTAATTTTGATGTGGAAGGAGGACGGAAACATTTTGTACTTTGCGCATTTGTTGACAGAAATGTTTAATTTAGAATAGAAGAGCAGGGTGGTTTCAGAGCCTTGCGTTCATGATTAAGCCTACGGAGGAAATTATATAAATAGTACTTCAACTATACACTATGGGTGCTAAATACCTATTGAAGGGGATGAAAATGAGCACGGTGGCAAAAAAAAAAAAAAAAAAAAAAAAAAAGTAAGCAACCAAACGAAACAGTTCTCACGGAAGGGAAAAAACAGGCACCTCTTGACTCACTTGTCATCTCACAATAAGGCAATTAAATTAGTCCAGGAGTGGACATACACAACCTCCGTTTTACCCAGCTGTATATTAGAGAGTCATCCATCACAAATCAAGATGTGTCTTTAAGCTTAAAATGACTTGTCTGGTTTTGAGGGGAAGAAATATTCTCAAAGTGCTGCACGTATGACTGAGCATGTGACTAGGGGCAGCTCTTGGCCACAAACTGAAGATGGGGTCCTGCGTTCAAGTCAACTCAATGCTACATTTATTTACTGTGGGGTTCTATCCCAGGTTCTACGAATAGGTGGGCTTAAAAATTGTGTGTGTGTGTGTATTATATATATATATATATATGTGTGTGTATATATATAGTCTATATAGTCTATATATAGTATATATAGTCATCTATATTGAATATTAGACCCCCATAATTACAGCACATGCTTTTTGTTGTTCTTCTAATAGTGGTGTTGACGAAAGAAAGAGGATGGCTGACCTAAGCTATTTTATTAATTTAATTAATGCAAAGTGATGTAGAAATCAGAATGAGAGAATAAATCTCTCACAGCCATTCTCAAAGAATTTACATTTAAATGGGAGAGAAGAGAAAGTAAACCACACAGATAATTGTGTTTATAATCTTTGTAAATAGATATATATCTATACATATATATAAGGTTCTACTAAGACTTTGTGAGTATGACAATTGAGAGCATTCTGAATGCAACATGATAGCAAAGAAATGGAGAAAAAGTTGTCTCCTATCAGTTCTATAAAGAGGTATCAATCATCACCAATACTAACACACAATTTTTCCATGGAGTTCTTATGTTCCTGTAATTTTTATGAGTTCCCCTTTTTTAAAAAACCTTGGAAGTATAACAGTGTGGTCCCCACGAAAAGGAGAGATTCCAGTTTCCCTGCCACACCCAAGGGAGGGTGGAACTGAGAAAGGAGAAGAAGGTGGCGAAGGAAGGAAGAAGGATGGAAAGCAAGAAGACCTAGCAGAGGCACATGGAGCAGAGAGACCTGTGAACAAGCTGCACTTGATTTTTGGTCCAGGACTGGTTGAACTAGATGTGGGTAAGAGACCCAACCCACAGGGAGGTTAAAAATGGCAGCTTTGATCTAGATTTTGAATTTGCTCTTTGTCTTCCAGACTTGTCTGGTTGTTTCTGCCCTTTTATTATGGGTCCCCACCAGATGGTAACTTAGACTTGTGGTAGGCTTTTATGCCTCCCCAGAGGCCCCACATTAGGCCAACCCTGTTTGGTTGGGTATTTACCTATGAGGGGATGAGTAACTTTGGGTTCTTGATTTGGAAACTATGTTCTTCTCCATTCTTCCCCTTTTCTATATTGCACAGATTGTATTAAAGTTCCCTTCTATTGAAAGTCTTATGACGTAGAGTATGTTTTGTTTTGATGAGGCAGACAACAAAACCAACTTAGCGTGGACAGGTTTGGAGGTTTTGGGGTGCTCCTATCCCTGTTCTGTAATAGATGGGTCTTGAAAGCTAGAAACAGAAGGATAGATTTAATTAGAGCTTTGCAAGGAGAGACTTTCTCTCCTGAGCAAAGAGCAGGCAGGCTTAGTTCAGAGCCACTCTCTTATAATGCTACCAGCTATTTGTGCAAGTATCATCTGACCCTCTTCTCTTAGGTCTATGTGAATTGAGACTCTGGAAACCAGAGTAAATTGTGCTGATGTATATTATAAAACTGTTTTCTGGGGCTCTCCCTGGTGGCACAATAGGTTAGACACTGAATTATGAAGGTCTCCAAAGCCACTGCAGCATGAATTTGATCCCTGGCCAGGGAGCTGACTCACATGGCACAGCAGACCTCTCCTGACCTGCCCGCTGCTCCCCTCAGCAGTGTACTTCAGTAAATCTTCCGGTTCTGCTCCCCACTCTATCTCTGGTGAATCCTCTCACCCACCACACCTCTGGCCACTACCCCAGTTCTGTAAGCATAAATAAATAAATCTTAAAAAAAAAAAAAAAGAACTGCTTTCTGTTCCTGAATGATAAAATGATTTATCTTTAGCCCCAGAGTTTTTGGGTTTGCTACCAACATTCATGAAACTGGCCAACTAACTAACTTATTAGCTTGCAAATAGAGTTAAATCTCAAAATCATTCAAGGTATTTAAAAACCAACTGCTCAATCTCTTTATCTGAGATAGAAATATTAGACTATATTTTTAAAAAAGAAATTTATGTATATAAAATGTGTATGTCCTTAATGGGGTCTGACCTATACTTAGTGGTGCTATTTTAATTAAAATCTATCAATATGAGATCATACATATTTAAACAAAGAAACTGACAAAATTAAATCAAAACAAAGTCTAAAAATATAACTGCAGAATTGAGACTACTAGTGGGGGGAGAGGGTGTGAACAGAGTGGGGGGCGCTCCAGTGGGATATCATAAAGGGATATAGGTGCTTTAGGGTAGGTGGGGTGTGGCGATACACATGAGGAAGTATAAACCTATTCCTCTGAATACTATGCAGTGCTATAAACCACATACCGCAAAAGTAAGTGAAGCTTAAAAAATAGGTAACAGAATTATTCTTGAAATAAGGTTCATTTTACTATATAAATATATGATAAAAATAACGTCTATTATACAATATGGTTGATAGAGTGGGTTAGGAACATAAAAGAAATTTTCTCATCTTATTTAAAATTCCTCCCTTCAATGATTTTACTCTACTTTTACATTTGGAGTCAGTTCTGAAACCAAAATAAAGATGCAGAGTCATCTAAGATGAAACAAGGTGATTATTCAGATGACATCAGAGCATTTACTTCTCATTCAATATTTTTCTCTGCCAAATTAATGCAAAGTAATGTAGGAACTAAAATATGGAAGTAAATTAATGAAACAAAATGATTAATATAACAATATTGGAAAATAATTAAGTCAAGGATTCCAGGTGTTTCCAAGCAATCTAAAAGAACAGTTAGGTTTAATGCAGTATTTTAAATGTAGACAACAATTTTTAAGAAGTTTTCCCATTGATTGTTAAAAGATACATACAAAAAGGAGTACAAAACAAAGGTGATGCATTACAAAGAAAACACCTGGTATAAACATCCACCCAGGAGAAGGACTAGAACATTTCTTGTACCCAAAGAGTTTTCTTCTCCCCACCAACCCCAACAACCAGTAGCCTCTCCTTCCCTACAAAGGAAGCCACACAATTTCCATATTGAAAGTAATCGCTTCTTTGTTCTCTAAAATTTTACAAGCTAACTATGCACTACCATTCAGTTTTTCCTATTTTTAACTTAAATGGATATAATCATTCATTATCCTTTCCTATTTAATATCCATTTGCCTCAGCACCATTTACTGAGATTTGGAAAGACTAACTTTTCCCTACTGAACAGGAAGGTTACCATTGTCACAATATTTTATACAACCAATATTCCTCAGTAGATCTCTAAGTATAGGCTTCAGGCCAGTTGCACTAGATTCACCTAGGATCTTGTAAATTCCCACCTCTGACTTACTAAAGCAAAAATCCTCATATGGGGGCCACAAACTTGTTTTCTAATCAGGTTTTTAGGTGATTCCACTTTACTTTAATGTTTGAGAATCAGTGCTCTGAATTTATGCACATATTTGTCATTTTCATTCTTTCATATTCATTTTTATAGTTCTGAACTTCCATATAGTACTGTTTTTTACATGAAGACAGAATTGTTTTCTTTTACTCTTTAATATGTCCTTTTGTGTAGTCTTGAGGACATAAAATTACTTGTATATTGGTCTGAAAAAAAAAATAATTTAACTTCCACACTCAAATGTGTTATGCTTAAAACTAGCAAAACAAGTAATATCTATATTTTGAAAGTAATTTCTATATTTCTCTAATTTTATTTCCCTGTCTTCCATTTTTCAGCATTTGTTTCTGATTTCTTTTTTAATCACTTTTCTCTTGTGTCATTCTTATATTACTTGTTATACATTTTTAAAAACTACTTGGGGTTTTTAGAACTTCTTGGCTCAAATTGATGGCTCTTGTGTGTTGAAAATAAGTCATAGTATCTTCAAATTTTGCTTCTGCTCCATTTTGTCTTTGCTTCTGGAATTCCACTTACACAGCTGTTATATCTCTCCTTTCTGTTGCATTTCTATCTCTTATTGTATTATCTATATTTTTATCATTTTTTGTCATCATTTTCCTTTCTGGATATTCCATACAGCCAGTTTTCAGTTTATTAAATAGCTATTGAATTTATTTTAAACTGCTGTTCTATCTTCAACTTTACTGAATTGTTAATTTTCTGTTTCTACAACTTCTACTTAATATGAACATACACATATGGCAGTTAATTTGTTATTATAAGTCTCATTTTTTATCTCCTTATACATGGTAAGTACAGTGATTTTAAAGTCTTTGAAAACACAGTGGTTCAGCTCTTTTATCTATTATTTTATCTGTTGTCTGTTGATTTTCATTTATGTTGTGTTAGTTCTTAGACTTCCTTATTTTTTATTATTTTTTATTTTTTTTTTAGCCATTGCACTTAAAAATTATTTATAAGAATAAATTAAGGCCTGGAAGTTATTAACTCCCACCAAAAATGTTTACATTGATTTCGGTTATTCACCTGGAAACCTACCATGTATGAATAACTGGACACTAGATGTCAGATAAACTTCTTTTAAAAATTATTTTATTAGAAATGCATGTAAGGGCTGGGATTTAGGCCGGAGGTGGGGGGAGGGGTGTAAGGATTCACCAGAGACAGACTGGGAGCAGAACAGAAGGCTCTACTGAAATGCACTGCTGAGGAGAGTAGTAGGCAATACAGAGAGATCACCGTGCCATGTGGGTCACCTCCTTGGCCAGCAATTAAACTTGTGTTACAGTGGCTGCCGATAGCTTCACTGTGCTGAGATCTAACCCCTTTTGCCACTAGGGAGGCCCAATGTGCACATAAACTTAATCCTGGTTCAAGGAACGCAATAATTTGGAATTTGGTAGGGATTTCTATATGGGCAACTATGCTTCCCTTGTTGGGCTCTGAACACGAATACTTATCCTCTAGACTTTAAGAGGTGTCAAAAGTATTGCTGTGCCTTTCAAACTCTAAGTTCCTCTCTTCAACCATAAAATGTCTCTAGGAAAAAGCGCCCTCAAATTATAATTCTTTCCTCTTACTCTTCTGATGCTCCATCATTGGCACTCTTAAAGCAAGGTTTGCTTTTATTGATTATCACTTCTAAATATCTCAAGCAGTGATATTGATCTCTAAAATAGCTAAACATTTTTTTATTAAGAGATCCAAATAATTTAAACCA